GTGACTAAGATTAGCATCATATGACCGAGGTTAGCATCATGTGACCAAGATTAGCATCTAGTGACCAAGGTTAACATCATTTGACCAAGATTAACATCTAGTGACCAAGGTTACCATCACATAACTAAGGCTAGCATCTAGTGACCAAAGTTAGCATTACATAACCAAGGCTAGCATCACATAACCTTGGTTAAAATGGGTCAGGGACCAATCAGGTGTCCATCTCTGACTGACTCCCGCTTTTTCTCGGGTGTATTTAGTAAATCACGGCCAGAAAAACACAAAATGACAACAAAAACAATGAAAACACAAAGTTATGTGTGAAAAGAAGAATTTAAAAGGCCAAGGTAAGCGTCACATGACCAAGATTTCTGTTACATGACCAAAGTTAACATCAAGTGATCAAGGTTACCATTTAGTGACCAAGGTTAGCATCTAGTGACCAAAGTTAACATCAAGTGACCAAGGTTAGCATCACATAACCAAGGTTAACAATACATAACCAAAGTTAGCATCTAGTGACCAAGATTAACATCTAGTGACCAAGGTTAGCATCATATAACCGAGGTTAGCATCATGTAACAAAAGTTAGCATCACGTGACCAAGATTAGCATCATGTGACCAAGGTTAGCATCACATAACTAAGGCTAGCATCATGTGACCTTGGTTAAAATGGGTCAGGGACCAATCAGACCATTTCTGACTGACTCACGCTTGTTCCCGGGTGGATTTAGCATTTTAAAATGGCTCTCCCGGATATCACGGCCAGACGAGGGCTGACAGGAAATGGATGGCGGCGGTTTCCCGCCCGTGAGGCTGCGGACTGGTTTGATGTAGGATGCTGTTTAACCCAGAAACGACGCGCCGCATTAGCATCATATGACCAAGGTCATGTGTCACATGACCAGGATTAGCATCAAGTGACCAAGGTTAGCATCACGTGACCAAGGTTAGCATCATGTGATTAAGGTTAGCGCCACATGACCAAGGTTAGCGTCATGTGACAAAGGTTAGCATTACATGACCAAGATTAACATCTACTGACCAAGGTTAGCATCACATGACCAAGGTTAGCGCCACAGGACCAAGGTTAGCGTCATGTGACAAAGGTTAGCATTACATGACCAAGATTAACATCTAGTGACCAAGGTTAGCATCACATAAGCAAGGCTAGCATCATGTGACCTTGGTTAAAACGGGTCAGGGACCAATCAGGTGTCCATCTCTGACTGATTCCCGCTTGTTCTTCGGGTGGATTTAGGAGATCACGGCCAGAAACACACAAAATGACAACAAAAACAATGAAAAAAGAAAAAATATGTGTGAAAAGAAGAATTTAAAAGGCCAAGGTTAGCGTCACATGACCAAGATTTCTGTTAAATGACCAAAGTTAGCATCAAGTGATCAAGGTTAGCATCATGTGACTAAGGTTAGCATCTAGTGACCAAGGTTAGCATCATGTGACCAAGATTAACATCTAGTGACCAAGGTT